CCGGCGCCGCTGTCCCGCCCTGAGGGGAACCGCCGTGAGGGAGAGGAGAGGAGAGGAGCGGAGCGGAGCCGCCGTGAGGGAGACACCCTTCCGAGAGGAGCCCCTTCCGAGAGCGGCGGCGGCGGCGGCGGGGGAGGGAACCCGGTAAGGCCCCGTCCCCGCCCGGGTCCAGGCTGGCCCGGCGCCCTGCAGGCTGTCCTTGGGCGGTAGCAGGCCCCAGCCACAGCCAGGCACCAGCACCCCGCTATTTTTAGCAGAGTAAAACGCACTAGAAGAGAAAAAGTTGACTTTTTCACAATTATCATCTTCCTGGGGGCTCGAGAGGCACCAAAGGAGACGTGTGACAAGCCACAGACCATCTTTACAGGTGCTGGTAGCACCAGAGATCCATGCCAGCGCCTGGGCAAGTTTCTTCACGTGTTTTGGAATGCCCAGAAAGCAAGAAGGTGGCCTCTATTTCAGCAGGTATATGTGAATGAATCAACCCCAGCTCACCGCAGTTAGTATGAACAGGAATTCATTTGGACACGTGGAGTGTTGTAGTTGACACTTGGGCGGGAAGTAAAACAAAAACGAAAACAACCAGGAACATAGGAAATAAAACCTTGTTCCAACTGTAGTCTGATTCAGGTGACTCCTCTGTAACCAAGCAAAAACTCTGCAGTGTATACTCAGGTTTTTCTGGAAAAATGAGTTAGAAACAAGAGTGGCAGCAGTGGGGGTGTGTTGCCAGTCACGGTGTTGGCTCTGTAGCCCAGTGAGAGAAGCCAAAGTGTCATCAACATCTTTTACTCCATCTGCAGCATCAGAAAGTTATAATCACTTGAAAGCTAGTGCATCAAGCCACTGGGAGGGAAGGAGGAAAGAACGAACAGCTTCTTCGTATTTGAACAATAACATAATGTAAGCAAACCGAATGAGCATGTGAAGAAGTCTGTATTTCATAAGGCACAAAAACGTATTCTTTGGCAGAGGTTATATTGCTGCCCTCTGCTGCTGGGAACTTGGGCCTAACGAGCAGAAAAACGGGCCATTTGTGATAAAAGTTTCTGACCACGCATAACAGTTCTGCGGCCAAGAGCCTCAAGAGCCATAGTTCAAAATCAGAAACCCGGAGCCTGTGAGAGGCAGGGGATGACAGCTGTCCACCCTCCGATGCCGGCAGGGGCAGGCTGGCCCACATCAATAATGTTATCTGGCTGCATCAGCTGAGGTTGCCTTCATGGGCTCTCTTCTGCCCACAGCCAGGTATTCAAGGTGATCTGCCATCCACGTGCCAACACAGCTTTACTTGGAATAGCTCTCTATTGAAATTGTTCCCAAGCCATCAGGAATCACCATCTCTCACCAGCAGTGGAAAAGGTAAATGAAAAATTTATCAGAACTTAATGGAGAGAAGTGTGCTTTTATAGGTGGTTCTGACCTTGAAGCTCTGAATGACCACAGTGGGTCCTGTAGTGGCACAATTTGGGGGTGATGACAATTTGGTGGGTGATTATGACCTTTAAAGTTGTTGCTGAGAGAGGTACTGAATGCTGTAATCTGTGGACAAGCCTGTCATCTAATTTGGCAAAATATAAGTTATTCACTGGCATGGTTTTAACAAACTATTTACTTGGAGTAAAGTTTATATCACCACTGTGTAAAATTGAACCTATGCCATGCAATCCATAGTAATTCAGAGCTGATTTTCTCTTGATGACCTTCAGAATAGTGTGAGTAACTGGATACACCTCAAAAGGGTTGGAATCCAAAGGAATGTGTCCAGAATAGGTAGATGATAGAGAATAGAAAATCTTATCTGTGAATTTGCATTGGGAAAATTGGCTCATTCACCACAATGAGTGTATGAGCAACCCTCACTGTCAGCAATTAACTCCTTATGAAACCACCCCTTAGGAAATTACTTTGTATACCGAGACATTTTAAGTCCAAAATAAAAACAACCTGTTGTCTTCAAAAAGCTTGCTGGTGTTGGACAATGCATCACTGGATCTAAAGCTTGCTTGTATTAAGTTCTTCTGCACTTCCCTATGCAGAGGCTTTCATGGTTGTGATTTTACTACCTCAAACAGCTTTGTACTTGCTGAGTTAGAAAAACCAATCTACACAGGCAAACAGCAGGCATTAAGTAAATGAGCATTCAGTGCATTATCCAAACAATACAAAGCTGCCCACATACCACACCTAAACAACAAAGGAGAGGTTAGAGTGACTGCAAGCCGTATGGAAGGGTGGCGGAGCAGCAGCTCTCTCTCTTTCCTTGGAAGAAAGGAATATATTTTTAGAAGCGGTTGGCTCAGCCTCTAAACCAAACCAGGAATATTTGCCAGTGAACATACAGTGTTTTGAGACATTTCCTGTGATAAGAGAAATACCCAAGAGACCAGATGGAAAGAACCAAATACTGCAAAAGTAGCAATGGGGTTGGCATGGTTTATTCCACAGGAGGACCCGCACGATATCTTAAGGGCAACAGAGAAGCACTTACAATGCTGCAGGATAGCTGCTCTCTCTTTTATTAGTGTAACACACCCATTTATTCACACTCGTAACCAATGACAACTATTACAGGATACATACAAGATGTTTCCCTTTATGTTTGCTTGCATACAGCAATTTAAAATTGTTATTCAAATGTGTCACGTGGCAATCTTGTGGTGGGAGGATCAGCATTTGTTGGCAGAGTAACATTTGTGTGCAGCACACCAGTGACATATGTCTTCAGCATGACAAGTTTCCACATTAGGGCTTCTCAGGGGGTTGCGGGGTGGTTTTTTTAGTGTTGTTTTATAGCTAATAGAAGTTGCACATTGCTTGACAGAAAGCTTCTGTGAGTGGAGTATCAATATGATTATTTTGTTTTAAAAAATATTCTTCAAGCAAAAGTGTCAACCAGAGAACAACTAGACATAGACAGGTCAGAGGCCCAGATGGGGTAGGGGCAGAACCCCAAGTGACAACTGTCCTTGCCCAGAGAAGCATCTTCACTAGTGGGCTATGAAGTCCTACACTCTTTGCTCTCTGTGCCTCCCACTTCCCAGGGTGACTTGAGTTTGGGGTTTTTTCATTCACGTTGTAACATTGTTATGGTTTGAGTAAACCCAGAACAATTTATTGTCATTTAGACAATTATTCTATCACCTGATGAGCCCTCCCCACCCTGGAAGGGGAATCAGAGAAACCAAGGAAACACAAGGGTTGAAATATAAATAGATTTAATAGAATAAGACTAAATAATTGACAGTAATACTAAAGAACCAGTATTAATATCGACATTAATATAAGTTATACAAGAATTATACTCAGCCCATTCTATTGGCAGGAAGCTGTGCACTCCCAGCAGGGCACAGTGAACACTGGACACTGGGAGCACTGCAGCTTCAGGAGGAAGGGAAGGGCTCAGGGGTCCAGCACCAGGGCAAGAAATTCTTAGGATCACAGCCATCAAGGGGTAGGCTAAGCAGCAAACTTTCTAATTTATGTTGAATGTAACGTTCATGGTATAAAATAATCCTGTTGGCCAGCCTGGGTCAAGTGCCCAGGCCTCACTCCTCCTCATCCCTGCACCTGGCTTGAAAACACTGACCTTGAATCCCACAGAGCCTGACTGGCTATAAAATAAATATTTTCACGAATTCAGACACTGGAGTCTTCTAAAAGTGCGGTTTTCCCAAGCATTAGGAGAGAAGTTAGTCCTGTGTTGCTCAACCCAGGACAAACATTTGGGCATCAGCTGTACAGGAAATCCAGTTTATAATTTGCTACATTTTGCAACTAGAACAAAAGATTAAAGAAACAAAGTAAATTCGAGAAATCTCCCCTGCTTTCAGCTACCTTCCTCACAATATATTTTAAAATGCACTATTCTGCATAGCTCTCTTTTCCCCCAGGTGTCTTTATAGTCTTCTGTGGCCTATTTAAGTTAGGAAGGGAAGTTAACATGGAAATAGGAGGAAGCTGCAAAACAAAGGAGAGTGTAAAAGTATCTTTGAGAATAAAGGGAAAAAAACATACAACTTTCTCCACTTGTAAAGAGAAATAAGGAAGCCTACTCATACAACACGTCTCCTTCCAGATGAGATAAGACAGTGGGGTTGCTGAGGCTTGTGTGGTTTGGAGCACTGCACTTACAGAGCACGCACCACTTGTGAATCCTGTGCAAATGCCAAGAAAGATAGTCTAAAAATCACATTAACTATAGCCGGTATATTAAAACTAGAAACAATTTCTTAGATGTAAATCTTCATGTTATTCATCTACGAGAATTTTATTAATTTATAATAAAGTGAATTAAAAGAACATAGACTTGACATCCATGGTAAACTGGTATAGGAATAAAGATGAGTTCAAATGCCTCCCTACATTTTGAAATGCAAGATATTATCTGTTTTGTGTGTTTTATACAGTATTTAAACAGGAAAAAAGAATCAATACTCATCCACTTTTTTTTAAAAATAAGAGTATGAAAATTAATTATGCTTACAATAATCCTACATATAAGCAGCATTTTGAATCCTTTTTAAGACAGCAGCTGATGAAGACTCAGATTTTATGCAATTATTGATTTATGTTGTGAATGCTCTGCAGACTAAAAAAGGTGTATTGCGGTAGCACCCAGAGACCTCTGACTGCAGGCAGATGCAGAGTTTGCCAGGGAGTCTGAACATGCCTAGAGAAAAAGACTAGGTAATTTGGAGCAGCAACAATTCAGCCACGCCAGAAAGCAGATGACAGAAGGGTTATGTTTTTGCTTCTGCTTTGAAAGTGTGAAGGAAGCAGCAATAAATGCAAGGTTGTATGTTTAGGAGTATGCAGCGCTAAATTTTGTATCTCACAGCAAGAGACAAGCCAGGGGAAGCCAAGGCCCATTGAAAAATCAGGATTTGAAGCCAAATCTCCTCCAGCTCCAGTGGATTGGGTTTTCTTCCTCATTCCTCTCCACATACTTTTTTTTTTTTTTTAAGTTACAGAAGGACATGCCAGAAAGTGGTTTAAAAAATATTCTCTGGAATCCTCTGGATAAATAACAAAGACAACTGTTGAAATATAACATTCCATAAACTTTCTGCTGTGAAAATTAATCACACATGACTACACATGGCTCTCCTTGCTCCCCTTCACATCACAAGTACAGTTTTGCTATTCTGATTTCCTTGAGACTCATTAGGCTGGACTTCCACTTTCATCTACATTAGTCTCCCTGCTGCTACATATGCCAGCTTTTTGAAACAATTTATTTGTTTGCATCTAATCTTTTAAGGGATGGGAAACACACACCACCCAAAACAACTCTTGTATGCCAGTGTTTAAAAGACTATAGTTCCAGGAGTAGTCTTTAGTTTTACTTTCCTCTCTCCATGGCATGTGGACCTTAAATTATTCACCACAGTAGTCCATCATTAAACTACAATAGAGAGCAGATCAGCTTCCTCCAATCGAGGTCTCAAACTGAAGTACAGTGACAGAAAGCAGCTGCTGGGATGTACCTTGGTCTCCTCATGCTTCCCAGGACTCACAGCACTTGAAAACTAGTATCCAAACAAATCTCTGCACAAAGAGCAACAGGGCTACTGATAGGGAAGGGAATCCAAGGATGATTCAGAGTTATCTGCATGCCACTGTCACAAGAAAAGTGATTGTTCTAAAACTCAGAGCTTTTTCCCAGGCCTTTGTTCACAGGGTGCAAATGAGCCTTTTTTTTCTATTTTTTTTTTTAAATGGAATCAAGCTGATTAAGGGAATCCAAGGATGATTCAGAGTTATCTGCATGCCACTGTCACAAGAAAAGTGATTGTTCTAAAACTCAGAGCTTTTTCCCAGGCCTTTGTTCACAGGGTGCAAATGAGCCTTTTTTTTCTATTTTTTTTTTTAAATGGAATCAAGCTGATTATAAAACAGGCCTTTGTACAAGCCCAACGAGCGCTACAATTAAATGGCACGCAACTTTAGAGTACAAGTACAGTACAGTACTGAGCAATCTCAGCTGCCAAGGACATCAGCAAGGGATGAAGACTACTACAAACTTCAGAGGAAGAGCTGACAGCACTGCAGCACTGAAACTTCAATCACTGAATTGCAAGAAATTAACTTAAAAATAAGCATTAAAATTAGAGAGACCTCCCATACAATTATTTTAATACAGATTTAGGAAAGGGGCCTACTTTTTATTTGTTGAGAAGCTACTCATTCTGTGAAAGAACTGCTTGCCCTCTAGAAGTGTATGGTTAGCAACCACCACCAAACCAACCTGGATGTTTGTGTCATGCAGTATGAGCATTAAAAACACTGCATGTCAACAGTCAGAATCAAGGCAATCACAGTATTTAAATGGGGCATTTAGCAGCGCTCTCTCAAGTAGTTCTCCTGTTCTTAGAACAGTCATATTTTCAAGAGATACAGGTTTTCATACTTTACAGAATGAGAGAAAAAACACTTCAGAATACCGACACACACCCCCCAAACTTCCCTCATCTTTATATTGATATTTCCGGGTTTACAAGTGGATTTATTTGTTTTTTGTTTTGTTTTTTTTTTGTTGTTTGTTTGTTTTGTTAAATAAGCAAACTGTAAGAGATCAGATCTAAACCATCGATTTTCTGGCCTCTCCTTTAGAAATCTGTATTCTTACCTCCCACAACAGATACTTTTGAGTCTGTTCTTGAGCTTTTAGTCCGCAAGTATGGCAGCACACAATCCTCCTCTCCCATTTGAAGTTTTTGTTAGTACTTTGGGTCTAGTTTTCTTCACACTGGAGAAAAACTCCTCTGAAAACCAAGTTATTCAAAATATTCCTACCACATTCACTCATGGATGCTTTTTCAGAGAGCTTCACATACAGGAGCTCAAAATTTACAAGTATCATCAATCTGTGGTCAGCAGACAGAGATTAAAACAGCAAGTCCAAAGCACCCACTTATTTCAGAAACCCAATTTAAGACACCCAATTTTTCACAATAATTTTTGCAGTACTTTGTATTTTCCAACTTCACACACTCTCTGCTTTATTGATTCTAGTTATCACTGCAAAGGCTGAGAACTTTTCCAAGTCAGCCTTCAAACTACATCGACATGAAAGTTCAGTGAGAAACACCAGCTGTGAGCACTGTTGAGGACTGTGCTTTAAGCCAATTTCCAGGTTTCCCTCCATAGTAGAGACTGAAATAATGTGTATCTTAGGATAGCATATTAAAGGCTTTGATACTCCCCCTTCCTGCAAGCAGCCCCAGTATCACATACAGTGAGGAAAAAAACTTAGCATACTTTTAGCTTAATTTAGTTTGTACATATACAAGTAAGAGTTTGAACCTCATACCACAGTCAAAAATGGGCAGATTCCCACGCACGTTCCTGTCAAAGATCAGTTCTCAGTAAAGTTTCAAGCCCTCAAATTCCACACCACAGCTATCTTTTGAGAAGCATCACACTTTACGTCTGCGTCATCCAAATTCACATTCTCTTTAGTAGAGCATAAACCATTGCCCAACACCCGTAGGAAATTTTAGTCAAAACAATTCCAGTTGGCATAAAAACTTGAAAGCTCCAATCCATATGCAAAGATGTAAACAAGTGAGATGAGGGTCATTTTATTCTTCACACCACTTTACAGAATAGCAGGAATAGGAACATCTTTTTAGAACAAGTATCATTGATTGCAATAACTAGTTTTAGTTTAGTTACTTCTTTTTTTCACCCCCTTTTTAAAATATTACTACTGCACTTCCCCAAGCACATAGTATATAACTGAGAATTACCCACAATGTTTTTACAGTAATGACAGCTTATTTATACTACATATAATATAAAATTACACTGATAACACTAGCAACAGAAGACTAATGTTTTAACAAAAAAGCTTCCAGGCTCCCCAGAATTCCTTTAATACAGATTTGTCAAGCAAAAATTAAACAACAGCAATTCACATGATTTAGGGTCACAGCATTGGCTAGACTATAGTTCCCTTTCAAAGGAACAGTACCAGAACTTAAAAATTCCTTAAAACGTGTACATACGTTCCTAGCAAAAAAAAAAAAAGACAGACTAAAGGCTAGGTGATGAAAAAATAAAATCTTTATTGAAATATTATAGTACTCAGTTTAATAATACTAAGATTTGTGTACATACGTTCCTAGCAAAAAAAAAGACAGACTAAAGGCTAGGTGATGAAAAAATAAAATCTTTATTGAAATATTATAGTACTCAGTTTAATAATACTAAGATTTTTTAAAAAACTTTATAATTAAGAATCTCCATAGTAATTCCATCTATTTTACAAATACACTGATGTGTACAAAACTTTAATTTTTATTTCAAGAAATCTCATACAGTTGAAACTCAGGTGTGATGATAAATGCTTGGTTCTACCTGTCTTCTGCCACAGAAGAGATCAAATGGCCAGTGATGTTTCAAGTTGAGGCAAGTTTTTGTAACATGAGATGCATTTCTCAAAATGAGACAGAAAAACACCTTACTGTAATTTTTTTTGTGTTTAACTTGATATGGAATAGATAAGGGAATTCAAAAGTGCTGAAGATGAACAGATGTACTCACTCTCAGAGGCAACAAGCTTTCAGTCACTACAGGCTGCCACCTCAGTGAAGTGCGTACCTCGGGGATCACCAGCCGCCAGAGCTCCCTCCTGGACATCAAACACACACTCCTCAGAGCTTTTCTTGCCTCACTGCAATTGCACGTTCAGAAAATAAGCTGTCAACAAAAGCTCTCCTGTCATCATGGCTACACACAGAGTATGCCAATTGAGCTTAACTGGGGCACAAGAACATATTTCTTTGCATAGAGTTATAATCCCAGTCCCTAGCTTTCTATGGCTCAAGACTTGAGCCAGTAACCACATCTTTGTATTTAGCGGATCAATTTCACTTTCTAGAGTTTACCCAAGTCTTTTTTCAGGCCCATGAAAGATTTTGGCATTCATAACTCCTGGGTGAAAAGAGGCAAGAGCTGTTGTCACTGGAGGTAACATTTCTCAGCTCTGCATATAAGTTAGATGTATATAAAGTTATGCTTCCTCTGTAATACTGGAAGACTCAAGAACCACTACCATCTGCAAATAAGGAACAAGGGTCTAACAGACTCTGGCCAGGCAGAAAAGTTGCAAGAAGCCTGCTTATCCCAAAGAATAATTCTACTCTTCTATTACTAAGGTCATACCACATGTCCTTGCTCCAAGACAGCTTCACAATTCGCAGAGCATTACTATGAAGAAGTGTATACTGAAATCAGTGTCATTAAGAAGCAAGCTTGAAGTCTAAAGAGTGCCTTGTTTAAAGTGCCTTGTTCATTCAAGCCTGAACATGATATTCTATTCTATTTGTTAAATGTGGGGCTTCGACTTTTTCAAACTAGTACATCTTCAAAATAATCAGGAACTTTTCACAGATGTTTCTTCAGCATTCACAATTTAGGCATCCCACACAAACTTTAACTGTGCAGTCCAGAAGTGTACATGCATTTCAAGCATTTTTAATGCCCTCAAATTGAGGATATGTTGGTGCTGCCAGATGTTGCCTTGATGGTATGTTGAAATTATTAACCTAGCATGCAGAACACTTAGAGCTCAAGTCAACCCACTAAAAAGCTTCAAGAAACAATAAAATTGGCTAAGTAGAGCTCAATTGTTAAGGCACAATAAGGGACTTCATTTCGAGGCACTATCACAAGTTAGAAAGACACACAGATATCAGACTTGGACAGAAAGAGGTGTCCTGTTCCGATAAGCTGAAATGAGACTTTCCTTCCCATCCTTCTCACCAGTGAATTTAGCCCTCCCCTTTTTAAAAGCAAAACGAACTAAAAACTTTCTGACGGGATCATTCTTAGCTGTCTACCTTCTTGCACACTATATAAAATTCTCAAACCACCAATCCATAGCTAGTAATTGTGTTCAGCAGCAGAATGCCTGGAAGTAACTTAGTTTGTGAGTAACTGTGAGCATTTAAGCCCTGCAGTTTGAATACTTGTGCTTTTATTACTGTTTTCAAAATGAGGCGATAGGTCTTCTAACAGGAACATCAGCAAGATGTCAGGAGTCTTATGGGAGTCCCATTAATATTTCTTCTGAACAGATGATTTAAATCATTATCTGGAAAATACAAGAAGTTTCACTTAGACTGACAGAAGACTGGACCAGGTAACAAACAATTCTCTCTTTGTTTCTAGAGTGTAAATAGGCTAATCATTTTGTCTTATCGGTAGGGAAGACTGTTTATCCACTAATAGAGTGCTGCATATTGCATAATCCAAAAGCATTTGACCATACTAAATATTTTATTAAAAAGCATTCTGTTAAGCTTGCTGTTAAGCAAATCTCACCGAACTACAGAGAGCAACTATAAATTCTTTTTTATTTAACCCAGTACAAAGACTTCAGAGAAGCTTTCTAACATTTATAGCAGTTTTTCAGTGTTCAGCAGATGTTACTCTCTTTGCTAAACAACATCAGACTGCAAAATTGCTCTTACTGTTGATGGATCAATAATGACATGGGATAAGTCATTATCTCCGTGGCAACAGAATTGTAACTGTTAGAGGAATATTGCGCATGTGGCTGCTGTGTCTCTGACAGGCATGCCTCGGCTTCCTCACACGGCTGCTCTCTCTGCAAGCCTGGTATGCCCAGAGTACCAACAACCAAGGGCACCTCTTGGACTACAGAGGATTAAACTACAACTGTGGTTACGTTATTCCGGAAGGAGCACAGCTTCACAAGGGTTTACTACACTTCAGTTTGATGTCCTTATTTCACTTATCATTTCTAATGAACCCCTCTACTCTGCTATCGTGAGATCCCACCTGGGGTACTGTGTCCAGCTTTGGAATCCTCAACAGAGGAAGGACATGGACCTGTTGGAATAGGTCCAGCAGAGGGCCATGAAAGCTGGAGCACCTGTCCTATGAAAACAGGTTGGGAAGAGTTGGAATTGTTCAGGCTGGAAAAGAGAATGCTCCAGGGAACCTTATAAAAGCCCTCCAGCACCTGAAGGGGGCCTACAGGAGAGATGGGGAGGGGGCCTTTGTCAGGGAATGTAGTGATAGGACAAGGGGTAATGGTTTAAATTGAAAGAGCAGAGATTTATGTTATATGTCAGGAAGAAACTCTTTACTGTGAGGGTGGTGAGGCACTGGAACAGGTTGCCCAGAGCAGCTGTGGATGCCCCATCCCTGGAGGTGTTCAAGGCCAGGCTGGATGGGGCTTTGAGCAACCTGGTCTGGTGGGAGGTGTCCCTGCCAAGGGCAGGGGGGTTGGAACTGGATGATCTTTAAGGTCCCTTCCAACTCTAACCATTCTATGATCTCCTTATAGAAAGGAGCTTGAGTGAAATTCAGAAGGCAGATGCTACAAAATTCTGTTCATAACTCAACATTTTTTTGAAAGAAGACATTTAGTTGCCTTCAAGACTAGAAAGATCTCTTTCTTTTTACACAATTTTCATTTAACACCCCTCTAACTCCTCAGGAAATGAAAGTGGCAGCAATCTTTCTGCTAGATTAAAACAACAAACTAAACCACTTGGGCTATTACACTTATAATAGTCTCTATATATCAAAGAGAAACATGTATTTTTGCTTTGCAGAATTTACTGAAATTTCATCTAGCATAAACTGAACACTTTAATATTGCACAACCTCACACTATGTTAATTACAACATGTAAACCACAGAAAGCAATAACTTTACTGTGTTTTAATTAGCATGACTGTGCCTGGCTTCTGATGTTCTCTTGGAAACAAAACACACTGACACACAAAATGCACAACATTCGTCAACAATATGTAAGCTTTGTCTTTGTATTCATAACAGAAAGCGTTTCTTCATAAACATACATATACTTACAAATACTACAGCAACACTTTTTTTATTCATAAGCTATTCACAGGGGATGGTAAACTGCAAGTTTACCACAATTCCCTTCGGCATGTTTTCTAATTAAATTTAAATAAAAAATAACAGAAATAATGGCTGAAGGTCATTTCATAGAAAATAAACCCGAGCTGTTACCCAAGCATCAACTGGATGCCACAAAAATCAAGACCTAGCAAACAGCCTTCTGAATGCTGAAGACAAGCTGGTCTGGTTTGGAAAGCTCTCATGTAAGCTCAACTGGGTGGGAGAAAATTCTTTTGCTTATAAATACAAGTAATACAAACGGCCGTTAATACACCGGATGGCAGAACGGTGATGTAAACTAAAACTCTCAAATGCATTTTGATTTGTGAGAGACTGTGGTTTAGCATAGAGGAAAAAAAAATATATTTCAAGGCTTTTTTGTACTCACAAGGTGGGCCTGGCTGCTGCAGGAGACTCCGCGCTCCGCTCCGAGGTCCCGGAAAGACCCCGGCGGCTGCCCAGCAGCTCCGGGGCTGCCCGCACGGCCGCCCCCAGGACGCGTCCGCATCCAGGGCTTCCCCGGCTGATGGCGGCCGGTTCCGTCCGTCTTCCAGCACCGACCCAACCCGCCCCGGGGCACGCCCCGCCCGCCCCATCCCGCTGCCAGCCCCACCGGCTGTTCTGGCGACAGACCAAGCCGTGCAGAGCTACCGGTAACTCTGGCTCCTCTCCCGGCACTAAACGCCAGGCCCGAGGGGAGCGGGTCAAGGCGGCGGCAGCAGCCCCACTGGCCTCCCCGCCGCACCGCTCAGCCTCCGCCCCAGCCGCCCCGAGGACAAGGAGGGAACCGGGCGGCTCCGCACCCCGCGGCGGGGAAGCGCGGCCCGTGCATCTCGCCGTTGGGCCCAACAGAAGGCGACTGAGGCGCACGGGGTCCCGCCGCCATAAGCACGGCTGTTACCCGGAAACGGAAGTCACGCGCCCCCCAGGGTTTCCCGAGCAAAACACCTCAGCGGGGCAACCTGACCAATCGCATCGGAGGAGTGGGAGGGAATTAACCAGATCCCGTTAGATTGGCAGTTCCTGCCCCCAATGCAACTGCAGCGATGCCGTTCCCTCCACAAATAGGAAAGCGAAGTAGCCTCAGGGTCGCTGGGTGGGCTAAGGCGCGCTGCGTCCTCACGCTATTGGCTGTCGTTGCTGATTGGCGGGCGGCTCCGCCTATGTGAAGGAGAAGCTCCTCCGCCACCTTCCCCTCTCTCTACCAATAGGCGGCGGGCGGTGGCTCGGGGCCGGCGGAGCGCAGCGGGGCCCGGCAGTCGGGGCAGCATGAACGGGCTGGTGCGGGCGGCCTGGCGGCTGGCGGGGCCCGGGGTCGCCGGGCGGAGCCGGG